ATCCTTTGGCTTTTTCTGGTAAGCCATAGCTAAGAAATCATCTCCTTAGCCTTGATTTAACTTGGGTTACTCTAATTTTTGGTTGTGGTTCTTGAATTTTGGGTAGTTTCCGTGAGTTTCCCTGCAGATCCCGTCGGCTCTCCACCGCCAGCTCCGGTTGTGCTTGCCGAAATTTTCTGGTATGAGACAGCTTTTAAAGCTGAACTTTAAACCATTTAATTGTTGCCTGTGCTGTTGAATTTTCCTATTGCAATATGGAAGAACCCGTTAGTTGCTACCCCCTTTTTGCTGTCCGAAATTGCTGTTGTACAGGGTAACATCCAACAGCATTTTAAGTGTGTTTTGTTGCTTAAATCATGTAGAATTTTCTGTGATTGGATTACTCTGATGTTCTGTATGCATAGCCGGGCCTTAGTGCTGTTTTGCCAAGCTCGGTTCCTCCTTTTTGTCCGTTGGAAATTTTCTGTTGAAATGGAGTTTTGGCAGCCTTAAAACATGGGTTTTAAGCTTGCTTAATGTAGAAAATTAGCTTATTATGACTGCTGTGAGATTTTGGAGAAAACCCCTTGAATTAGTTATTGTTTGCCAATTTATGGAAGTTACAGTTACTGTTCATGCGCACTATTTATGCGCACTGTTCACGCATTGAATTTTAATTAATTGGAGTAGAAAATCTCATGGAATACGTTAGTTATGGCATTGGATTAATTTTGGTCCAGTAGTGATGTTTTATTCATTGGGGTTTTATTTGGTTGTTGAGAACGTGATGGGAAAATGAAAAGGGAAATGGTTATTAATTCTTGAATATTTTGATTAGGTTCCTGATCGTTCTCTCAGTTAGCACTGAGATCGAGTCTTCGGTTTTATGCGAGTGAGGTAAGTAAATTTATGGTAAAACTCTTTGATTTTAAAGCATATTTTAAACTATTTTTGAGATGGTGGCAAGGTTTAAGTTGATTTTATCAGCATCTGAGTGTGATTAAACTGAAATGAAAATTGTGATGATTTTTATGAAAATTATCATTTTTTGGAATTGAGCAAGATTGGAATGAAAATGAGAATTTCATTGTTTTTCTGGAGTTGAGCATGCCCACATGAAATTTTCTGGTTTATTCTTGAAATTGAGATTAATGGTGAATTATGGATTTTCTGTAAATTCTACATGGTTTTGTCTCTGATATAGTCATAATTACTGACGCCCGCTAATGGGAGTTTGCAAACGCTAGCACATGTCAACATGTATTTCTATAGAATCGATTCATCCTGCCAATGGGGTTAAACATTGGTTATTACTTACGCCTACTAGTGGGAGTTTGTTAAACACTAGTACCACTGAGGCCTGCCAATGGGTGAATACATTGGTAATTACTGGCGCCTGCCAGTGGAAGTTTGTTAAACACTAGTACTTCTATAACCCTACCAATGGGGTTAAACATTAGTTATTACTGACGCCTGCCAGTGGAGTTGTTAAACACTGGTACCACTACTGACGCCTACCAGTGGGAGTTTGTTAAACACTGGCCATGACTTATAGATGAGATTACTGATGAATTTTATTATGCATGAATGGTTTATCATTAAAAGTTCTGTTATGCTTACATAGTTTATCTGGCACGCTTAAATTTTTACCAAGGGCTATCCATATTTTTACTTACTGAGATATTTTATCTCATAGTTTTCTTTGTTCACCATTTCAGGTAGTGTGACCCGAGGACGGAGAAACCAAGGGAAGTGACGAGGTAGAAGGCTAACCATTCTAATTGGATATAAGTTTTAGATTTTATCATCTTTTTGTAAGGTAGATTTTATTCTAAAGATTTTGTGATTTGAATAAATTTCGAGCCTTGTATACTTGTGAGACCCGTCTCACGAGTGCACAGTGTCTACCACGTCCCCGGATTTAGGTTTTGGGACGTGACAATAAGTTTACCAAATATTTATCCTTAGTGGTTTGAACAAAACCACTAATTGTTATCCTTA